GTAACAACAATAACAATAACAATAACAACTGGTCACATTGAATAAGTGAAAATAAGATGATGATTTCATTGATTTTATGCAATTCATTATTCTATATAATTTATGATCAGGTCAAATAAACATTTTATAATAGTTATTAGTAGGCCAATACAAAAATGAAAAAAAAATTCTTTTGAAAAAAAAATAGTTTGTTTGCATTTGTCGATATATACGATCGAAAAAAAACACACACACACACATTGAAAATGATCCTAAATAGTTCGTTTTAAACAATAATAAACAAAGAATAAGTCAATAAATAATAAGTCATCTCCTATTACATATTTAAAAATTTATTCAGTGCTCACTTACTCACTTACTTACTTACCTACTTACTTAAGCCTGTTATACCTCGTGGAGAAGTATAGACCACCCACCAGCACTTTCCATTAAATTCTTTATTGATTCAGTAGGATTGATCAATAAAAGTGGAACATTATGTTTATGATATAAAATTTCCAATTCAAACTATTGACAATAACTTATCACTATTTCTATTTTCATGTAATTATTTCATTGGTATGTATAATTTCATTTTTATTGAGGAATATAAGAATATATTTTATTAAATCATGCCAAGTTCTGTGTAATTAATCAATGAGATAACAGGAAGTAAGCCAGTTTATAATGATACATTTTAGTAAAAGTGATGATTTACTAAGTTTTATAATTATATAAACATTAATATGGAAAGTGTTTTGAGTTATATAGAAATAGATTCGTGAGTGGCTGATGAAGGTATATATATATATATATATATATATATATATATATATATATATATATATATATATATATATATATATATATATTCTTCATATGTCGACAATCACTTTCGTTAACAGTGTGCAAATTTTATTATACAAGCATAGAAACAAGATTATTTATGATGTAAACGATGAATTACAGCTACAAACGTGTTCAAGTACCTTATTTTAATCTATTGTTAACTAGTTATGAATTGAACAAATCCATGGATGACCTGGAAGTACTGGACAGTTTTCCATGGTGATCTAGCTTCAATTGACTCATGATTTCAATCAGTGAAATTTCTAAAATCTCCACAAAACCTCTTCTGATAATATCATTTTGTATATGAGATCAATCACCATTGACATTTTGTTAAATCTATTTATTGAATAAAGACAGATGATTGATACTTCCACATCGAGGTATAATTTATATCATTTTGGCAATAATGATAATTTAAATGTTATAAATGAATAATTATGTTTTAAATTTTTGAATAGATTTTCAAATGAAGGGCTTTTCCTGGAAAAAAAATTTTTAATTTCATGTACTCAGGATACTCAGAAGTTCAAGAAAATGATGGAAGAAAAACATAGTTCATTCTTTTGAAAAAACGAGTAGTTTTTAGGTTATAAAACAACCTTACTTACTTACTTACGCCTGTTACTCCTAATGGAGCATAGGCAGCCGACTGGCACTCTCCAACACATTCTGTCCTGGGCCTTCTTTTCTAGTTCCATGCATTTCTTGTTCATTCTTCTCATGTATATCTCCATTTCTCGGCGTAATCTGTTTTTTGGTATTCCTCTTTTCCTTCGACCTTGAGGATTCCATGTGAGGACTTGTCTTGTGATGCAGTTGAGTGCTTTCGTCAGTGTGTGTCTTATTCACTTCCAACGCTTCTTCCTGATTTCTTCCTTCTCTCCCATAGTAGGTTGTTACTTGTAGTGTCTGGCTAACGGATCCGGAGTATTTTGTGTAGACAACTGATAATAAACACTTGTATCTTCTGGATGACGGCCTTCGTAGTTGTCCAGGTTTCCGCTGCATATATTAGAACTGTCTTGACATTTGTATTGAAAATCCTGACCTTGGCGTTGACTTGTGGACAGTTGTTTTGAGTTCCAGATGTTCTTCAGTTGTAAATATGCTGCTCTTGTTTTGCCGATCCGTGCCTTCACATCTGCATCAGATCCACCGTGTTCATCAATGATGTTGTCCAAATATGTAAATGTTTTTACATCATCCAAATCCTCTCTGTCAGGTGTGATTTGATTGTTGCATGCTGTGTTAAATCGGACAATCTTGCTTTTCCCTTTGTGCATGATGAGACCTACTGCTACTGGGGCTGCTGATACACTGGTCGTCTTCTCCTGCATTTGTTGTTGCGTGTGTGATAGAAGAGCCAGATTATCTGAGAAGTCTAGATAATCCAATTGCATTCTAGCTGTCCACTGTATCCCGTGCTTCGCTTCAGATGTTGATGTCTTCATGATCCATTCGATCACCAGGAGAAGGAGAAAAGGTGAGAGTAAGCAACCTTGCCTGACACCGGTCTTTACTTCGAACGACTTTGTCAACTGTCCTCCATGCACGATTTTGCAGTTTAATCCATCATAGGAATTCCCTATGATATTGACTATCTTCTGAGGCACGCCGTAGTGTATAAAACAACCTAACATCTTTTAAATGATTCCTTGTGTTTAGGTTATAGCACAATTTTTTTTACTATAATTCGGACTAATCAGTAATACTTATTCATTTTAGTCAGTAAAATTTCTCACATTTTTGTCATGACTGATAGGCCAGCTTTCATAATTCCATATTGCCAAATTAATTCATTCTATTATGTCATAATCAAATCATATCTTAAAGTAAGGAAAATAATCATATCAGGTGTCAACTTTGAATACCAGCTAGTTTGCAGAATGAAATTCTTAACGTATATAAATTGTAATAAGTATACTGGATGTGATTACAGGTAATATGTCTAGAATAGTTTATCCAATATGATTTATAGTTCGAATCACTTAGACAAGCCACTGAGATCCTCCTTCCAATGATCAGATGAAAAATACATGTAAGCTGCCACAATAATAATTTATTAAGGTTTAACTATGAACAAAAATATTATCTTTACACCTTTCCTCTGTTTTGCATCAACATAAACTAGTTTCCACATTCAACTAATGATTCAATCACTTACATTTAAACATATTAGAACATGAAAAAGAGAATGCAGAAAAGAAAATTTTCTTTTCGATGAAATCATTTATTTAAGCTGTACGTATTAGAACTTGGAAGATATCCTTACTGTGAGTCAGTTGAAGCTAGACCACCATGGAAAACTTGGAAACACTGGACAGCCGTTTCGTCCTATTATGGGACTCCTCAGCAGTGCGCATCCACGACCTCGCCCCCTGCGAGATTCGAACCCAGGACTTACTGGTTTCGCGCGCGAGCACTTAACCTCTAGACCACTGAGCTGGCCGGCATCCAACGGTGTTAATGTCTAACTTCAACTAATCCACGGAATCGAACGACACATCCACCATTGTCTTCAGTGAGTTACTATCTCACAACAGACCTAGTGGTCTAGCTTCAACTGACTCATGATCTTAACCATTGAAATTACTACAATCTCACAAAATAGAGAGTAACTTAACAAGCTAAGGATTAATGACGCACCAGAATAGTAAACTCAATAAATCTATGCCCATCTTATTTTAGGGATCTACTATAATATGCTTAGGAAAAGAATTAATCTTTCAGTTTTAATTCAATGGTGAATTGTGTTAAAATTATCACAATTCAATCATTAGGTAACCTTTGAAAGTAACATTATTCATTTCTTAGTGTACTACTATTCTTTTAAACGAATATTCGTCAAGATTAGAACGAATAATTTGACAGAAATCGGGCACCGAGTATAGAGAAGTCATTATTATGTGAAAATTATATTTGAAATAATCTCAGCGATTGAAATTTAAATAATTCCTGAAGAAGTCCAGGCAAGTTAGCTGGACGAAACATTGGAAGTATCCATTTTAAAGTATACATATCATTATCATATTATCAAATTGATCTTATCTCTATTATAAAAAACAATTATTTGTTTATAAAATATGTAAAATATTTTTGTTTATATTCAAAATAACTGTTTTGCCCCGATAAGAATAATGAGTGGTAATTTTTGGGATCTATTTATGGACCAGTACTATATGTATAATTTTATCGTATATTTGTTAATTAACTAAACTATTCATATTCATGTCCCTCTTATCATAAGCTTTATTTTGATCTATGAACTGTTATTATAGGATTTTCCATTCTTGAATTATTCCCTGTTTATTAATCACCACCTCCCTCATTCACAGACACTTTTGACCAGATTTTGTACAAATGTTATTTTCTATTTTATGGTACGTTGTGGTCTGTTTGTTTTGGTATATAAACCGAGTATGTTTGAAATACATGATTCATATCGCAGAGGCTCACATTGGTGTTCTGGACTTAACTGGCTGGGCTAAGCAGGAAGTGAGACCAATCAGGACTCTAGGCTGGTCGTACGAGTTTACGCGTCATTGATCCGATCAATAAGTCACTATTCTCTAATCGGCGGTCACAAGTTATAACAATAACCACTGCTTTTTTTCAATTTCACTTAAGATAAACTCTTTTTTTTAAATTTATAATTCATCAGTTATTATTGTTATAGGCGGCTTGCTTTGATATCTGGGCTACCTGTTCCTGCTATCTGGATATTTCAACAAGTTATCTGTTTTCTTGTTTGTTTTAACAAATCATTATGCCTATTAGTGTCTCATAACCCATTCACGTGCGTTTGTGAGAAGTTTACAACATTTCGCTGTACAAGTTACAAAAGAGCTCAATCAGAGACATCATGGTTATTAGCAATATGCATCGAAATGGATATACATTTATCAGATGTCAATTCTTGAACCACTAACATCTAACTGGCGACCACTCAATATTTATCACAAAACTGGTCAAGAAATAGGAAAGGGGAAGTTGTTGAAATACTTTGTGCAGAGAATTCTATATTATACCAAAAATATAATATTGAATAAAGCCAATAATAATAATAATAATAATAATAAACTAAAATCAAAACAAACAAGAAAAAATTTTATCTGTTTACTAAAGTTCGCTTTTTTTTCTTTTTCTTTTTCTTGTTTTTTTTTCTCTTTAAAAGAATTTTTTTCTATTATAATCTTTAAATTAATTAACTATTGATTTAGTGTGTAGGTGTGTGTTTGTTTTTTTTTTTTTTGTTGTTGTTGTTTTTGTTGTAAACTTGTTGTTTGTAATAATTTTAATTCAATTGAACGTCTAAAACGTGTTCTTAAACCATTTGATAATTTCATTTCAATTTGTTCAATATGTTTTTTAGAATATTTTGTTGTTTTAATTAATGGTAAAGAATAAATAGATAAATAAAAAATATAACGAAAATTTGATAAAAATATAAAAAATATAAAAAAATTAAATGAACATATAATTGATGTAAATGAACTAAATAATCTTGATAAATGAATTAAACGTTTAACATAAATTGGATAAATTTGTTTATAATTATATAAATCTGATTTTTGTCTTAATATAATAATAATAATTAATGGTATAGAAAATAATAAAAAAATTGATGTTACCATTAAATGTCCAATAATTCTTTTCATTTCATTATGATATTCATTTGTAAATGATTTATGTGAATTTATAATAAATTGATTTGATAATGAATATTTTCGATCATTTAAAATTCTATTATTATTACCATTAGTATTGTTATTATTATTATTATTATTGGTAGTAGTATTGTTATTATTATTATTGGTAGTAGTATTGTTATTATTATTATTAGTAATAGTATTGTTATTATGATTGTTAGCAGTAGTATTAGTAGTATTATCAATAGAGAATTTACTATGTATAATAGAATTATGTTTACTATTTAATAATTGTCTATTTTTAATTAAATAATGTAAACGTAAAATAATAATAATATTTATAATAGCTATTAATATTGTTGGTATAATATATCCACCAATTGTTGATAAATATAAACTATATTGTACACCAAAATATAATGAATTCACATATTGACATGTATAATTCATAATAAATAATGTATTATCATTTTTAATTAAATCAGAATAAATTAATTGTGGTAAATATAATAACATACATATACATATAATAATAATAATTAATATACGTGATAATAATAAATAATGATCACCACGAAATTTAATTGGTTTATATGTTGTTAATAAACGATCTATACTAAATAGAACTAATAATATATTAGATATAAATACAGATATATATGGTATATAATTCATTAATTTACATGTAAATGATGATATAATATCTAATTTAATAAATATTTTACAATCACTTGCCCATGTTAAACCACGTCCAAGAAAATCATCTAATAATGTATTTGTTATTAAATCCACAATTTGAAATATTGTAATCCATATAATATAAATATTAAATCTTGATGGTTGTAATTTTTGCATAAAATAAAAATTATTTATTATAAAACTACATCCAATAATACCAAATAATATAAATATTGGCATAATATAACCACGAAAATTTAACATAATAATTTCTTCAATAAGAAATTCATTTGAATTATTTTGTATACATGGCATTATTAGTTTATGATGGATTGATTATTCTAAATAAAATTTTGTAAAAAAAAAAACAAAAATTAAAATGACAACAAAAAAAATAAAAACTAAAAATTTTCTCTTTTTTTTTTGATTCTCTGACAAAGTTTTATTTTCTTTTCTTTTTACTTTTCTTTTTGATAAAAATAAAAGATAATTTATTAAAAGATAATTTTTTCTTTTAAAAATAAAAAATTTTTTTCTTTGTTAATTTAATGAATCATAATGAAAATGTAAATTAATATTATTTACATAATCTTAGTTTTATAAGGAGTTAATTATTGTTCTAATTTTTGATTGGTTAATACAATATGTAAACATTGAGAGAATTCAACCAATCATTTTACTAAATAAATTTATTCAATTAAGTATTATTTATAGGTGTGATGAATGTATGAAAAATGTAAAAATAATAATAATAATAATAACTGATTTATAAACATGAAAAAATTATACAATTGAATACTGGCTCAGTGATCTAGAGGTTAAGTGATCATACGTGAGATCATAGGTATTGGATTGGGGTTAACATTAATTGCACGGTCATGAAAAAAAGTTTTTTTTATCCCCATCTTCCAATAATTTTCATTCTGCTCTGTTCAATCAAATAGGGAGTTTGAAGTTCGTTATAATTAGTCATTTATTTCTTAAAATTGATATAAAATGTCAGGACATGACGACAGTGCACAGTTTTTCCAAAGTACGAACTCTGTCGTTTCTTATGTTATCACAAAAAACGGTAACCTATTCTTCAGCACATTGTATGTCGTAGCGTTCCAATCACTTGAAGCGTTGAAGAACGCCGTTAGAACATATGAAAGAGCTACGTACTGCTATTATGCGGTGAGAGATTCTCATTTCCATAGAGATTGGAAGCTGTATATTAAATTCATATGTTGGAGAAATGGCCGTAGCGGTTCCTCACAGCCGAGTAGACGAAGGAGGTAATTTTTGATAAAGGACTTCCGTAAACACTGAATGTCCTTCCTTCATTTTTTGTAAGTTACCAACTATCAAAATAACGTCGACATGGATGCAACGTTAAGCAATGAAGAGGAAGAAATTGTTTCGATTAACTCAGAGGAGTTCACTAAACGAGACGACGACAATGACGAGAATGCGTATGACAACAGACTTTGTGATATTTGGAATGTGGCGCAACCACCACATGAAACTGCTGATGGAAGTACCTGGATATTTTGTCCATGCGAAGCAATGTTTCATTTATCTTGTGCTTGCGACTCATCACCACTTGTCTATGGAATCCTCTGTCCCATATGCGGCGCTATAACGGAATCATAGTAACGCATTTGTTCATGAAATTCGGAACTGTTAAGAGAACGAGTAAAGGCCCTTTTCAGGGCCACTCAAAATTTGATTTAAATCCTTTTGTTTCAATTTCTTATTTCCATGGCAAAGGTCAAGTGATGAAGCTATCAAAATTCATTTAAGATTAATGATTATTATGTGATTATCGCCCACGTATTCGTAAACGCTTTTTAAGCTTTATCCAATATACGGTTTAAGTAAACAATTTCGTATAGGAAATATTATCTAATGAACACTAATCTGTTTGACAATAGTACATGCAAAACTTATTCAAAATGTTTCAATATTTTGTCATATAGTTACGATAGACGAATGTAATACTACCAGTACACTAGTACAACGACATTATTTCTATGGGAAAGGTCAGCTGAACCAACATTGATGAATCTTAATTAAGCCTTAGTGATTAAGCAATATAACCAATTGAGATTTGTAAAAATTTCGTGGATTATGATATCAATCTAAACTCAACAATCTCCACAACCTTATACCGATCAGTATTTTAATATTTAGCTAAAATCCTTACCTATTTTTTTATGATATTGTGTAACCTCTGGTTTTTCTGTATAAAAATGAGTAACTAAATAACAATGATTTTTTTTTCATTTTTATTAAAATGGTAAATATCAAACCAACCAAACATATAGTTATTTTTACAAATATTATCTCTGTTCATCAAATTTACTAGAAAACTATTAATGTAACTTAAGATCTCCTAGGAATATATAATAAATACTTGACATGGAACTTTCATACCGACATTGATGACCATAGTAGTATTGATAATTGATGAGAAATAACTCGATTCATGTTTTCCAGTTCAATCAATTCGTGTTATCCTCATTCACTATCGATCATAGAGATACAATTTTACATGATGATTGTTTTTATAGCGCATAAACTCACATACCTTTTCGTTTGAAATTCATTTCGTAGCTAACTTTGTACATTGTCGGTGTTATTAAAATGTTGAGTAGAATTGATAAACTAATCAATTACTGTCATTCTGCATTGTAAAAGGGTGTTTTCTTAAACATGTATAATTTTCTATGCTTATAATAAACAGAAACTCTTGTTGTTTGGGATACATAATGTATTAAAATTTGATATTTTATTTTCATTGTGTTAAAGGTCATGTTCATTTATTGATAGAAATTATTTCCACCAATTCTATCAACATCACGTTTCTCTTCTTCTAAAGTCTTTAACAAGATTCTTTGAATTTTCAAGGAAGAAATTTTCCAACTTTATTTTCAGTCTGTATCACTAGAACATTATTATTCATTCATTCACTGACTGCACTGAAATTTTCTGTAAATCGAAGGTAATTTCCATCAAAAAATAATGTCATGTAAAGGATCATTTGAAATATGGGACATATCATATAGGCGTTTCATATTGATTTATGTCTTCGTTATACTCTCTGGAACTGAGTGGAAATCACATAGTAGCATTTTCGATTTTGATCGATCAGTATACTTCTCATCCAATAACTGGTATAGTGGATTCTATATGGTTACATGAAATCAATAAGATGATCGAGAACCTCAAACTCTGAATTGTTGCATTTTTTATTGGCTGGAAGTTGAGAAATCAATTAACCTGTAAGAATATGAAGCTTATTGAAGAAAAATTACAAGGGGCGTACATTGTTATTTATAAATCCCGTCCCTTTTGACAGTTGTTACATTTGCCATATGAGATATGATAAGAAAAGAAGCTGAATCTTCTTCCTCACCAAATAATACTGTTAATTTGATGTAACCATACTGGTGATCTGATTTTACACTCTTTCGGATGCAACGGAACCCTCCAAGTCTGGAAATCGTCCTCGGACTTACATAACTTGACCCAAAAGTGAAGGAGAAGTAAGAAGACAGTGATTAGTATTCACGCCAAAACAGATAAAATAACTGGATTTCAACATACTCCTTTTATAAATTTTATAATACGTTTCATAATTAATATCATTTACTTCACTCACTTCTGTTATATGCACCGTTTGTGTTCGGTAAACATAAAATATTAAAACAAATCTTTACCTAATATTTACTTTAACTCTTATAATTTAAACAAGGTATTGAAAAAAGATTGTAAGACAGTGATCAAATATTACTTACTGTCAATCCGAGATTAGTTTGGATTGATTCTGAACTCATAAAAGTTCCCATTACATACTATCTATGATAGACGAATTGTGTTGTACTACTTTAGTGACCTGATATCTTACTCCAATTCGATCATGTAATCATTATTGAAATATAGACCTCCCGGCTTCCCTCGTAAATAATTATCGACTTAAATCGCGTTGGTGAATAACGGAATTAAATAAGTTAAATACAAGAAAGGATTTTAAATACGTATATTTCATACAGTCGTTGATCTAGACAGACGATCAGAAGAAATCAGCTATGAAATCGAAGAGAAAAGTAGATCGGAGAAGACATGTGAGCCAGCTCGAATTAACCGAACGTGTACGATTTTATAGTCAAACAAGTATAAGTTACAGATACATGATGAATAGGGTCAGTAATTACAATTGATTGATCACTGGGTGGTGACCAATGTCATGAGTGTCTAGTCCTTATTATTAGTGCAGATCAAATGCTATCGACCATGTAAGTAATTAGTACACGTGCGACCAGTGTTAACAAATGAATAAGCGACAAAATCAAAATATGGTTTGAGGAGAATGAATAAATCAGAAGCTAGAATAACTTATGTGGGCTTGACATAGTATCAACTAATACACTACACGCATATGATGCTTACGATAAATGAATTGTAATGTAATCAAGTCTTATTTCGCTAACAGATAGAGACATAGGCAAATATATCAATCACTGTGATGTTTTCACTTGTAAGCATTGGTAACTGGCATTGTAATAAGTCGAATGTATATTTACAAAATTGTAAGTTAACATTACAATTAATTAACATGACTAGTTAACTAAAAAGACTCTTTTAGAAAATCAAAGAAATCTATTTCAATATTTCGACTGGTGAAAAAAAATTTATGTAGTAAAAGTTTACATAGACATATTGTAATGAACAAGAATACCAGTGGGGACAAACGAATGTATTAGATAATAAATTACAGAACTAGTTAGTAAAATCTAACAACCATATAGTAAATGCTCAATTTACAAAATATCCATCAATTATCTCAAATGACTTAGACTTCATTATTCTTGCATTTTCATACAAATTGCATTGTGTTTTCATTCTTTACTGTTCGATCTTATTGTCTCTCTGCTACTAGACATTCTGTTCACGACTAACATCATATGCTACATATGTCTACATAAGTAGTACAAACCGCAATATTAGTTACTAATTTACTATTAGATGAGAGGAACAACTATTCACTAAAAAAATCAATATCATTAAGTGACGTGATAACTATTTTTGATATTACAATGTACATGATTTCCCTTAAATTTTTCAAAGTACATTATATCATGTTTTTGTCAAGATAACATGAATGATTGATTTATTAATTATCATAAAGGAAAGAATTCATGACTTAGATCTCACATTTAACAAATGCATAAATATTGCTTTGACGACAATTCATAGAAGGTATCTAAACGAAATTCATACTTGATGCATCTAATAGTATTCACTGAGGTAAAAGTGAATAATTTCAAAGTTTAAATAGGGATTAATAACATGTTCAATTTTCATTTTGGTTTTTTAAGAGTTTCATAAAAGGAGTGGTTAATAAGAAATAAACTGAAACAAAGATAAACACCTCATGAGATTCGAACCCAGGACTTATTAGTCTCACACGAGATCATGGATGCGCACTACTGAGGAGTCCCACAATAGGACGAAACGGCTGTCTAGGTTTTCTATGGTGGTCTAACTTCAATCGACTCATGATCTCAACCATTAAATTACTATAATATCCACAAAAACCCCTTCTAATATTAAAAATATTATGAATACAATAATATAGAGAAGTATTGTATAACATTAAGCAAAAATTATTATTATTATTATT